TAAAAAATAGTAGATGCATTGAAATTAGGAGCAAATTTCTGTAAAATTTTCAGCACAAAGCAGCGCGTCAGGAGGTTTAATCCGTTCATATTCATATTGTGAAATGTTTTTGTTCTACAGAAATTGGTACTATTCATAAAAATGTAAACAAAGCAAACCAATGTGTAACATTTGCATGGAGCACGGATTCGTTTGTCGTTAGGTGCGGCTATTCTGAGATCGAAACAGACGTCATCGAAATGATGTCGCAAAAGCGACAATCAAAGCGACAATTAAAATGCATTTTAGCATGCGCCTTTGTCACAAACAGCCATGTGTGCAACAATACCCGTTTTGGATGCATGGAAATCGATGACAAATGGTGTGCACATTTTCTACAACTTGGTACGCACGAACCAAAGTAGGAGCCAGGAGAGAGAATATGATACGTCGAAAGTATCCAATTTGAGACCGTATGCGAATTTCACACAATCTAGATTATCACCCAAAATTTGAAGAACCGTATGACGACAGATGAAATGCCGCATTTAGGACATGTACAATAGTTGCAACAGCCCACCGCTTTAGTTTTGCTTTTACTTTTATAATCCAGTTCAAATGTATCCATTCCAATTCTATTGCCAAACAAAAAGGGGCACTGCCTGCGAGGCCACCAAAATGATGGATGCCAGGTGCGCTTCCACTTTGTGCGTTTGTGCAGCGGGTGCTTGTGCAACATGTGAAGTTTCGTTCAGTCCCTGTTTCAAGAGTGGCGAAATCAAGGATGTCGATTTGCATCGAGAATTTTGCGCACCTCCACACGAACGCGGACGCTGGTGGCAGCAGACTCCACCACGTCCCGGCAATTGACCTTTTCCTCGTCCGGTATGATGGTCTAGAAATATGAAGCACAACAGAAAGAATGTACAGCGGCTGTAAGATCCACTGGCGTATGTAACGAACGAACATGGATAGGGAGTTCTTTTCTATTTTACTGCCTATCAGTTGGAATTCTGAAGCTCCTGCGTTCGTACAAATGATTTGAGGGCCATTTCAATTGAACTGGCTGGAGAAATGTTGAAACGACACCAGCGTTCGTACGTGGGCGCCTCGTTATAAGAGCTGTTAGAGTCAATAGATTCAGCAACATGTGGCACAATTGTGGACTCCGATACTGCGAAATATTCTGCAAGAATATGTCATATGATTTACTGACACTTACTGCGATTACCGCTGCAACCAACACCCATGCCAACAGCGTGGTTCCCCTGCCCCATTTGCCGCCAGGGATCAGCCTGACAGCGAGCAAACTTTTCCTCTAGTTTAGCCAGACGTCTACGAGGTGACCCAGAGAGATGGCGCAGTGCGCATTTCAGCACCAAGATGAAATGCGCATCGCCGCTGCCGAAGTCCCTGCGCTGTTCTGCACGATTTTCTGGAAGCAAGACAGCGTCTCCATGGGCGATCAGCTCCACACAGGGTAGATGGCGCGCTTGCCGGCGGCATCTTGCGCCGACCAGTCGTTCTCATCAACAACCATCGGGAGTTCGAACGAAACACGTGCTTGCCCGTTGCCCGACATCGCCAGTTTGGTGAAAGGCCTTTTGGTTTGTCATGTGGCTATGGAATGATAACGAGGATGCCATGTCGGATCGCGTCACGCGCTCCGCACTAAGATGCCACCGCGCTCCACGCGGAGCCACTTCGCAGCAAATAGATCCCTATCTACCATTCCCCCTGGCCTGCCCTTCATACCGCACTTTGGAGCGAACCGTTTGGGTTATCAAGAGGCAACATGGCCTGAAACAGCCCACCATTTGCAAACGTCTCAATGCCTTCAAAGGCCTCTGTTGCCGCGCGTTTTGCTGCCAATCCGCCAGCGCAAAACCTTAGGGAACGGTCACCTCATCGATCGCCAGCAGGCACAGTCGCAGGTACTTTTCATCGAAGGGGTTGCGCCTGTGGCGCTTCTGCTCGACGTCGTCGATCGTCGCCGCCAGCAGCGCGTACGTCCGCGCGCCTCCCCGCTCCAACGCCCTGATTTTGAACTCCAGGCCGGCGCCAGAAGACCGGGCGTTCATGCGCTTGCCGTCAGCGCCGCAAGAAAGCTGCCTCGCTGCGAGAGGGCCGCCCCCCATGGCGCCCTCTTGTCGGTGTCCTTCAGGGTTGCCCATGGCGGCCGGGCGCGCAGGCTGCGCCCTGACTGAGTCCGGGGAGCGGGATTCTAAGGGGCGTTTGGCGGGATGTGGGCTCTACCATTCTCATGCAGTAGCTGGGGGATGCTGCGCTTTTTGAAGGGGTTTGGGTGTGAATGGCGGGCTGGATTTTGAACGGCGTGGGAGGGCTGGAGGTCGCCAGGAAGGTGATGATGCTTTTGTGGTTGGCTGCAATTTTCCTGATGTGGCACAGCACTGCGCTTTTTTGCATGGCATGGGTGGAAAAGTTGGCGCGATGTTGTCGACTATTTTTTCGATTAATAGGATTAATTCATATCTGCAACATGCTTTCAGTTATATAACAACAGTCAAATTTGCGGTGAACACGACTTCAGTTGGTCACTTCGAATTTCGAAGTTCGAAAGACGTGCCACATTGCTTAACAAGATGTCAAGAATCGCTGAATCATCCACTGATTGAAACCACTGACCGACGTCAAGAATGAGTCATCGAACGCTGCCTCAATGGGAAGAAAAAAATTGTTTGGCGGAGCCATTTCCATGACGGCGAGAAGGAAACGATGCGATCCCCGACCTGTCTGGTTCCACTAGGAAAAAACTGGCCAGATGACACAGTCCTGACACGGTTTGCTCAAAATCCAACCGTGTACTTTCGGCAAATGTGGTCCCAAAAGTACACAGTTAGTACACACATTGACACAGTTTCAACCGTGTACCCTCACACAACTGTGTATACTACACGGTTTCCTAGGATGCACGGTTAAAACTGTGTCAATGTGTGTACTAATTGTGTACTTTTGGGACCACATTTGCCGAAAGTACACGGTTGGGTTTTGAGCAAACCGTGTCAGGACTGTGTCATCTGGCCAGGTTTTTACTAGTGTTCCAAGCGGATTTTGGGAGCTGTGCGTCTGCGATCACCGGCATTAGCGGATTTTGGCGATTGCCACCATTTCATCCAGGTAATGACTTCAGACTGGACAGCTGCCATCGATCTCAGCCATTTGTGAACATCACACACTAGCAACTTTGGTAAGATAAAAACACCGTGTGGCGTGCAATCCCCTGGGTCGCATTCTTCCCGGACCAGAGGACAAAATCGCACTCCTGCCAATGCAGCGGTCACCATGTTGGAAGGCGAACGTCAACTGCACTTCTACTTGCGCACTTGGAGTTTTGAGCACAGGCTGGATGACCCGTCGCCTGGCAGCCTTTCGTCGGTGCTGGGCTGCACTGCCACTTGGAGAGGGCGCTCCACACTACCATCGACAATGCGGAATGCTCTCGATACAATCCATTTGTCTTCCAGGAAGGCCAGCGGTGCAGAATCGATTGGGACACTAGTGCCCCCATACAAATTTGCGTACAGGCTTGTTATTCACGCTTACGTTTACATTTTTACGTTTACATTTCTTCACGTGAAAACGCAAAATTGGCAAAAGGGGCTTTTTTTTGCTGCTGTATTTATGTTTTTACGACTCTTTGTGACACCAAGGTAACACGATGAAAATCGCGCACAATGATCAGTCCTCCACCTCCTCAAGCACCCGCAACACAGCGTCGACTTCGCACTCGGTAAGGGCCACGACGGCGTGCAACAAAAGTTCGTTTTCTGCCCATTACAGCGCGTCTGGCTGCTACTCCCCGGACACCCAAAGGCTGTATGTAATGTCCTTTCTGTACAAGGAGCTATATTACGTTGTATTTACGTATTTTTACTCGTTTTTATGCATAAAAAGGTAAAAGCTATTTTTACGTGTAAATACGATCTGTTTTTGCGGCATAAATAACAAGCCTGTTTGCGTACACCAGCATCAGACGGGATACTCGATGTGCGAATATTTTCAAAATTCGCTCGTCGAATCTGCGAGCGCCCCGGTCCCGCATTACCAAGCGGCGGCGCGGGCCGCGTCACTGGAAGTGTGACCCGCCGCGGCTCCTCCAGCCCACCCACTAACGCCGCGCCTTCGTGGCGCACCCAAACGCCAATCCAAGGGCCCAGAGTCAGCAACGTGACCCCCACGGCGCTGCTAAATTTGGGCCCCGCCCTCACTCTTTTAGTGCCACGCCCCTTACTGGCCCTCCTGGAACCCCTGGCCGCGGAGCGGCCCACCTCCAACGAACCCTCGCACGTGCTTCCTGCCTGCTCGACGTCACGCTGATGGCACTTACAGCCGCAGCGGCGGTCGCACGCCTTTAGTATGCCCACCCCCGCCATCGACGCCGTCGCTTTTCCGCCGTCCGGAAATTCCCCAGGCCGTGAAGCGGGCCGCCGAATCCGCGGACGCCGCGCGCGAGCGCGAGCGCGGCGCACAGCGGCAATTTCTACCGGCTCCGACGGCAGTATCGGGTCACCGGGTTCCCAAAGCTGCGAGTCTGACGAACGGCGGAGTCGGAGGTCTCGACGGGGCCCTCCACTGGAGTGGGGCAGGCGATCGGCGCCCCAAGGGACCCGTGGCGGCGGCCGGGAACACGTGCGTGCCGATTCTGGCCGGGAGCCGCCGCCCCGTTTTAGAATTCAACACATCGTGATCCGCCCCGCGCCCGGTTGAACGACGGGCGCCCCGCGGCCCAGTCGCGCGGCCCGCGACCGGACCCGGCCGCTCCCACCGGGGAGGTGGGGCCGTGCGCCGTGTGCGTGTGGTGCCGGGCGCTCGGCTGTCTCTGAGACGCGCGCGAGACGCTGAAGTCCGTGGCACGATCGCCAGGGGCTGAATTCCGGTGTTTGCCGTGTGCAGGTCCCTGTTTCGTCCCATTCAGGAGGTGTCCTGTAGAGGTGTCCCGCTGAGGCTGCGGGACTTCCGGAAGGAGCTGCGGGACTTCCGGAAGGAACTGCGGGCGCGCCATGACATCCGACGGCGACCTTGGGGACAACCGCGTGCCGTGCGACGCGGAGGAGGGGGGGCCTGGTCTGCGGCATGTCGAGCTGGGAGTGGAGGTGGAGCCGCTGGAGGGAAGCGCTCTCGGGAAGGGGGCTTTCGGGATGGTAAGGAAGGCGCGGTGGATTGACGGCGAGGGGCGGGGGCGCCTGGTCGCGGTGAAGTACGCCAACGAGCTAACGGAGGCCAGCGCCCGGCGGTCTCTGGAGAACGAGCTCAAGGTGTTCGACGCGCTGCCGGCCCACCCGCACATAATCAGATGCTTCGGCGGCAAGCTGGGGGAAGGGACGGCCGCCGGGCCTGGCGCGGATTCCGAAAGGTGCGCGGGGGATGATTTCTACATCGTGTTGGAGCTGATGGACATGAACTTGGACGAGCTGATTCGCTCCCCCGAGCACGCCCACCGCTGCACGTATGCTGGCCTGCTGGACGTCTTTGAACAGGTAGCCGACGGCCTGGAGCACCTGCACGCCCACAACATCATTCACTACGACATGAAGCCGGGGAACGTGCTGCTCAGCCGGGACCTCCGCGTGAAGCTGGCGGACTTTGGCCTGTCGAAGATGAAGCTGCGGAGGTCCACTGCGGCCAGCTGCAAGGGGCAGTTCGGTTACATGGCTCCGGAGGTGGCCCTCAGCCTCAACGTGCGGGGGCTGAGGGTGACCGACAAGGTGGACGTGTTCTCCCTGGGGGTCATGATGTGGGAGTGCGTCAGCGGCAAGCGGCGGCCATCCCTGCAGAGCCAGTCCATGGGCACCAGGGACTCCTGCATGAGCTTTGGCTCCTCCTGCGACGAAGTGTGCCTCGGGAACTCAAAGTACACGCTGGGCTTGGACTGCCCCAAGAGCCTGGTGCAGCTGATCGAGCAATGCGTGGAGCTGCAGCCCGACAACCGCCCATCGTCCATGGAAGTCAGGACCAGGTTGGGGGAGCTGAAGAGGGAGCCTTGGGCACAAGGGCACCCCTGGGGCGACGACCTGGCCAGCCAGGAAGACTTGCAGGCTGGAACGAAAACGGGCCATTTCGTCGACGATTCGGCCTGGGAGAGTCGTCATTTGATTGTGCCCCCAGTGAGTGGCCCATGCAAAGACATCAGTGTTTAGGTGAAAGCTCACTTCAAACAGTGCTGAGGCCAGCTTAGACTCCACTGACGGACACCATAGTAATGCTTTGAGGGGTTAATAATGGTATCTTCAATGACAATAGTACTTTTGAAGATGATTGAATGCGTTTCATCTTGCTTGCCACGCCCTGACTGGGGAGGGTGGCTGTTTCCAGGCACTCGATTCGGGGCATGGAAGCTGTAACTTTGTATGACCACAGGTCAAATGTTGAGAGGCTGGAGCTGGTGACAGCGGTTAGCCATGGGCAGTTGTTGCAGAATCGAGCAGTGGAGTTGGTAGTACCTGTGCGGATCCCATTCATTGAGCACTGTGGCTGAAATTATACCACAGCAGTAGGATTGTAGTTTGTGCTGGCGATGCACATTGCAGAATCGAGCAGTGGAGTAGGTAGTACCTGTGTGGATCCCATTCACTGAGCCCTGTGGCTGAAATTATACCACAGCAGTAGGATTGCAGTTCTTGCTGGCGGTGAACATTCCCAAGTAGCACACTGGAATGGCAGGGAATTTTGCTGCATGTACTTGTAGTTTTGAACGATTGTTTTGGCATACTGGTTCAGGCGCCATGATGATATGTGCTGTGAATGAATGGCAGGTGACACAGCCAGCACCAATCATAAACTTGTGCAGGAAATGATCAAAAGGGCCATGGGCCAGGAGCATTTCTGGACACACCACCACAGTCTTCTACATGTTTGTCAGACACAGTGCCTTTTAAAGCATGCAGCTGTCTTCACTGGGCTTTTAAGAAAGCAGTGTTTGGGGCATGTCATTAGCATAAAGCGCGGCTGATACAATGATCATCACGACAATGTCAAGCGGAAATTCCATGGACCGCGCCATCCAAAACAGACCTGACAAGCCCTAGCATTTGACAGGCAATGGCGGGCGCCAACCATCCGAACAATGGCGGTCAACAGTCCCCTGCGCGTATTTTCCACATGCCGCCCATTTCCCCCACGCGAAAACCGCCGTACAAGATCACAAGGCGACGCCCGACGTTGTGAAAACATTTCCTGGGGGCCGGCTTGCGAGCCAATCCGACCCCGATCGTCAACTGCAGAACGCGCAGAAGCTACTGCCGGGTGCTGGCCACGGCTGTTGTGTGCGCGCTGATCGAGCCTCGCCGGGAAACGCTGCCGTAGGACGCCTGGCGACTGCGCCCTTGTGCGTCGTGCGTTGGAGCGTCACCAAACTGCAGTTGAGTGCCCCACAGATGCCGAAGCGGCCCCGCGGTCCGACGCCGCGCCACGCGCCCGATGTACTGTGCCCGGCCGCCCGTTCCTATTCGCAGCCAGCCGAAGCGACCTTTCAGGGAGATTCGCAGCCTGCGACCTCCTCTCTGAACACGGGGATCTGCAACCCCGACCCAGTACCTTGGGCCCTGGTTGGGGGCGACTGCCCCAACAAGCTGCAGCTCCCCAAGCTCGTTACTAATGCTTGATGGAGTGCGCCTGGGAGAGGCTTCAGCGGGGATTGGTGGGCCTGGCCTTCACATGTCCGCACTGGAGGGCTTCCTGCCACGGAGCGCCCCAGAGTTGCGGGAAGCCCTGCCGCTTGGATAATACCCCGGTGCTGGTCGTCCCCGCGCCGAGCGCCGAGCACGGCGCCTTACTCGCGGTCCCAGAGCGGCCGGTTTGGGCGGCGCGGCGTAAGGGGCGAGCGCAGGCTCATCGACGCCCCTGAGGACGGCTTTGATTTTCGGTGGGTGCGGGGGTGGTCCCGGATCGGCGCGCTGAGCCCTCGGATCTTGCCGAGCGCTGCTGGCATTTGGCCTGCGCTGGAACCTCGTAGAATTCCGCGGGAACTTGTCCGGGCTTTGGGACGCCCTTGGTGGTGCCGGGCGTCTGTGGCATGCCTGATTTTGTGGCACCTCGATGGGCGCGGCGCGCCAGCGCCGGAGCTTCGGGATCGAAAGCGGCGCGGTGGTCGGCATCGCCTTGCGCTTCTCAACTGTCGACGTTTGGGGCCGCGACGGCGATCTTGCCGCGAGGCGTCCCGCCGGCTGTACTTCGAATGCCGGCACCCCCGCAGCGCCCCGGGCGGTGTGCGCATGTTGTAACTACACGGGCATAGACGGCGGACTGCCGTCGGACGGCGACTTATGGGCGCCTGTGGGTGGGCCTCTGGGCTGTCCCAGAAGGTTGACAGTGGCAAGGGCGAGCGCAGTTGGCGCCTCAAAATCAGCTTCCCAGGGGTGCCGATCCGTGGCCCCTGCCCGCCGACGCTTTTGTTGTGGGCCACGTTGCTGTGGCGAAATGTGCAGCAGCCGAACTGCTTTCGTTCAGGCATCCGCCTGGTCCCTAGGTTTTGCGGGATTGGGGCGGTCCTCGACATCTTCTGCTGTTCATGTTGGTTTCCACCGCGGCAGCGCGTTGCGCAACCAAGTGGAGTGCGGGCATGTGCTGCGTTGTTGAGCGAACTGCCATTGTCCGATGCTGCCCCAGCAGTCATAGCCTGAAAGGCTCCCGAGCTCTGTGTCGTGTGGTGTGCTTTTTTAGCGCAACGCAGCCTGAGGCTCTGTTAACACGCGCAGAAGGCCCCCATCATCTCACAGACTGTCCGTTGCCATCCAGATTGAAGAGCATGAGAGCTGCTGGTGCGCCTTTGGACGTTTGGCGAATGTCTCCAGGAGGTTTTGCGCTGCGGGGATGGGCCAATTGACCAGGTAGTATAGTGGAGTGAACAGGCTGCCACTGTGGTGTCGAATCTGTGGGATAGGAGCAGAGAACGATGTGTGACTTGGGGAAGTTGAGAAGGGACCTTGAGGTCGAGTTAGAAGAAGATGAAGAGGCTAGCTTGCTTGGCAGCGGGGCGTTTGGGAGCGTCAGGAAAGGACACATCTTCCTTGACAAAAGGCGCGTGCCAGTCGCCATCAAGTATGCGAACGAACTGCGGCTGAAGGAAGCCAGAACTTCGCTGGAGAACGAACTCAGGATTTATGACCGCATGTACGAACGTCAGCGACACCCGCATGTCCTTGAATGCTTTGGAGGCAATATGGGAAATGACGAATCTGAGGATGGCGACAACGATTTTGAAAAAGCTGGTGAAGACGTCTTCATCGTGCTGGAGCTGATGGACATGAGCCTTCAAAACTTGATTTACAGTCGAAAGTTTGCCTGCCATCGACTCTATCGCACACTGCTGCTTGTCTGTGCACAGATCGCAGACTCCCTGGAATTCCTGCACGACAACAAAATAATTCATTACGACATCAAGCCCTCAAACGTCCTTATAACGGAGAAGGACGACGCAGAGTTCTGCGGCAGGGCTTGTAGGTTTGTTGTCAAGCTTGCGGACTTCGGGGTGTCAAAACTGAGGATGCAGAGGTCAACTAAGGCCAGCTTCAAAGGCCAGATTGGCTACATGGCTCCTGAAGTTGTCATGTCCCTGCATTTCAAGGGAGTGACGGCCACTGACAAAGTGGATGTGTATTCTCTGGGCATACTCATCTGGGAGTGTGTGACACAGAAGGACCTGGTGAGTGAGTCGATGGGAGAGTCAGTGGATGGTCTGACAACCCCCACAAGTGCCAGTCGGAACGGGTCAGACTGTTTTTTGGGCAGCTCCAGACTTTCCATGCCAAAGAGCGTTCCCAAGAGTCTGAGAGATCTGATTGGCAACTGTGTCGAACCTGATCCCCAATGCCGTCCAGCTTGCTCTGTGGTTCGGGAAGCATTGCTGAAGCTTGCAGATGAGCCCTGGGCCCTGCAAGCCCCTGGCGAACCCATTGACGGAAGTGCACACAGCACAGCTGCATTTTCTATCACCGATTCTGCAATGGACAGGCATGAAGCAAGCTCGAGCGAACCGCAGTGCCCCTACATCGACTTGGAGATCGAGGTTGAGTACCCCGACAGGGATAGCGCATCGGGTAGTGTAGTGGGGAGGGGACCATACACAGATGTTGAGAGAGGGGTTTATGAGGATGAGTTTGGTGTTAGGAACAGTGTTGTTGTCAAGCACGCCAAGGCAGTGCAGTATCAGAACCTGTTCAAGCATGAGCTGGAGATGTTTGGACGCCTCCCAATGCACCGGAACATCGTGAGATGCTATGGCGGGTCTCTTGGGCCGCGCAGGGAGACAGACGAGGACCGTGGCATATTCATCGTCACCGAGGAGCTGGGCCAGAGCTGGGGGTCATTCCTCTTCGGCAACACCGTTCAGGTCGAAGGCAGCAAGGTCATCCGCTCAGACACCAGGTACTACACCATGCTCCAGGTTTTCCACGCCGTTGCCTCGGCTCTGGCGCACTGCCATCGGAACAGCATCATTTATGGCAACCTCAACCCGCAGAATGTGCTGCTCGACAGGGAAGGAAGGGCGAAGCTGACCAGCATGATGTTTGCCAGGTTCTTTTCCGACAGCAGCAGCTTCCACCCCGAAATTGCTGTCGTTTCCCCCGAGCTGCTGCTCAGCAGGTTCAACAGGTACCAGAAGTTCACTGAGAAGATGGACGTCTTTGCTCTTGGCGCCTTCATGTGGGGCAGCCTGGAGATAGACGGGGACGCCATCGACTTGGTGCTCAAACCGCCCAAGGAGACTGAAGACGGGCAGCAGCTGTCTGCTGGCTGTTCTGGCCTTCGCCTCAGTGCGCACTACCCGAGCGAGCTGAGGGACCTGGTGCTCAAATGCACCGCCTTCATGGAAGGGGACCGGCCAAGCTGTCAGGAAGTCATGGGCCGCCTGCAGGAGATGATGCTCTCTGCCATGTGGGTGCAGCGACCCATCTTCAAGATCGATGTGCGCAAAGTCAGCACGGTGCCGTGGATATGCGCAACCCCACCTCGACGGTTTGCCAAAAGACGAGGGAAGAAACAAGAGTCGTCAACGCCAGCGACATGGTTCAGGAAACTGCTGGCCGTTTTGGATCAGTGGTTTGTCGACAATAGTTAGTTGTCAAGCAGATTTAGTTGCCAGGTTGAATGCAATGCCAAGCTGGGGCACACTGTGGGGTTGGACATTGGCTGGCTGTGACTCTGTTGGAAACGCCACACACAGGGGAAGAAAATTTTGTTAGAGAGGTAGCTGTGGCTTGCGACCGAAGCTGTTGGTGAGCTCCAAAACCACTGAGCTCAGTGCGCTCGAAATTTGGGATTGAGGAGCGCAGGGCCAACAGCGATTGCACGTATAGTGCTGCTGTGGACTGGTGCGGGACTGAGGTCTTCACAGCCCTGCGTCCTGCTTGCCATTGATTCCCTGCTTCATAACTGGGGTTGTAACTTCCCTTTGCCGCCATGGGCGTGTTCCCGTGGTGTTCATTCCTCCTGTCTGCTGTATCATGGCGCCGGTACGAAATCCGGGAGCTGTTGCCGTCGCGTGCAGCACTCGGCGCGTCTTCTCCACATGCACACCAGTGACAGAGGTCACGTGGATGCACAGGCAATGGCGCAAAGGAAAGCTCGACAGGACAACTCTTCAGCCCGAGGGAGCGTGGCGTTGAATTGGACCACCCTTCCGATACAGGCAGCACATGATACATGGACACCCATGGGTGCGGGGAAGGCCGCGCAGCGGCACAAGCCTTGGATCCGCGCAAGCTGTTCAGCAGGGGCCTGGGCCAGTAGACACAAATCGTCGTGCAGCCAAAACCCTTCCAGCGCACCTGCAGCTGACGTAGGCCAGTCCCCGCAGTTCGCATTTGCCACTAAATGCGCCCCACGGCGGTCCCGATTGAAACAGTTGACACTGCAGTCGTCACTCGGCTGTGGGTGTCACGAACGGCCCTCAGGGCTCTCGCCACTGGGCCCTGGCCCCCCGCCAGCCTCCTCGTCCGTTTCCCGTCGCGTTCGCTCGCGCTGCGCATCCAATGCCCTTATCGTGCCCCTCACGCGCCCCACGCCCTCCGCATGGTTGAGCATCTCGTCGAGAGACGACGCAACCTCCAGCGAGTGTCCAGGAATGGAGGCCCCGTCCAGAGCGTCGGGGCTGCTGACGCCTTCCAGCGTCAGGACCTGCTGCAGCGCGGGGTGCATCTCCACATTGGGGTCAGCGCCGAGGATGCGCTCCAAATCGTCCAAGTCCAGTCCATGGAGCTCGCCTGCAGCCGCGGCGGCAATGCCAACGTGACGCACAGGGCAGACGACACGCGAAGCCGCCCAGTAGTATCGGACAAAAGTACTTCTAATATTCACACTATATCTGACAGTATTTCCAGCAGCTCTAAAAGAAGTGTTTATCAGCCTGCGAAAAGTTCTGACCCCTGCTTCCTCCCAATCGTATCACCCAATAGCCTATCAGGTATTCAAGCATGATTTGTCAGCTGTACTTGGGTCGAACAGTGACGAAGCGCCTGGAAGGGGATTACGTCATAGGACGTGCGCTGAGTATGTTTTGAAGCATCAGATGACGGCAAAACGTCGCGACACCGCAAACTCCCCGGCGGCAGCTCATTCACATTTTCATCGTCGCGTGACTTGTGTTGCTCCGAGCGTCCCCGCTGCCATTACCATCAGAAACGGCCCGTGAAGCCCTTGACCAGTCAGGACCAGCGCGCAAGCCAGCACGGGGTTGGCATTTGTACTCTTGAATGTGGCGTAATATCTCGGTACGCAGTGAGACACCCATGTAATATGTCACCAATTCTGCACAATGAAAGCCCGAATGGGGTGCTGTTACCTATGCTGGGTTGCAGGGCGACAGCCTCTTCGTGGTGGTCTGGCTCCTCTTCGTCCATGGGGACGTAGGGCATCTCCAAGGTGGGTAAGGATGCACCCAATGAAGGTGTGTCCATGGGCGCAGCGATATCCAGACCGATCGGCGCATCTTCTCCAGATGGCGAGACGGCGGGTGCATCAACATCAGGGAACCCTGGAAAGGGAAAGCCAACGATTGCTGATGCCAAATCAATCAGCGTGAAAGACTAAATCTGCGGGACAGACATCAAACACGCCACCAGCAATACACCAGGGGCAGCAAATGAACGACAATCGATCAACCTGCTCTGTCACAGCATTGTCGTTGGCAAAATTGAAGGGCATGTGCATTACCGCTAATACTACTGCTACATCTACCACGGCTATATTGGCACAATCGCAAGGATTCGACGAAGTGACAAGGATGTGATGAGGCAACAGGCAGGCTGATATTGTGATGTACGATGGGGACCTATGAACAACACGAAGTGCCCGTACAGCACCAGCAAGGACTCTATCCTTGCACTCTGTTTGCCTGTACATTTGACAAAACACGTGATGCCAATCGGCAGCACTCACACACATTCCAAATGCCTTCATAGACAAGAAGGCATAATGTTACCTTCTGACGTTGACAGCGATGTCTCTCCGACATACTCTTCCTGCGTTGCTTGCTCCATGTCCTCTACTCTGCCTGGTGGGGTTGGCAACTGTTCTACAGCCATGTACTGCTCAGCATCTTGAGCGTTGCTAGGCTCTGAATAAATTCTGTCGCCCTGCTGCCTTTCCTCTTGGCGCTCACCCGCTTCTTGGAGCTCACCTTGTTCTTGTGAACTTCCAGCTGGCTGGGAGGCCCCAACCTGCTGACTGCTGGTGATGCGCACAAGCCAAGCAACAGAGACTTCGATGTTGTTGTTGAACGTGCGCAGTGCACGAGCGGCCTTCAGGCATGCACACATCGGTTGCCTTGGTGTTTCATTGTGTCTGCTCAATGTCCATTTCAACACATGCGCTGTTGTGTCTCGTCGATGCCAACTGCCCTGAAGCCAGGAATTGAAGGAGTGCCAATCCTTCCAGGTCTGACAGGGGTGAGCATCCAGGCTATTGTTTGAACAGTTGTTTTAGAAGGATTCTCCACAGCATATGTGCCAGTCGGAACTCAGTGGTTTGCAATGCAATGTCTGCTTGGATGCAGACAGCAAAACTCCACCAGGTGCATCTCACTACCAGCATGTGCCTACCATACAGCACAGCTGAGCCAGTGGACAAGCTGGACAGAACGTGCTAAAAGATGCACACAACAGCACAGCTGCCAAAATTCCATCCACTGCATCCCTCACCTGCTCTTCTGCAAATCCCATCTCCTGCAGTTGCGCAACGAGGGAAGCATCCACCTGCCTTGACTGGACAGCCCTGGGGCGTGTGGCATAGAGCCTGCGAAGTTGTTCTTGTGGGATGGGCACAGCGGCCGCTGGGTCATTGCCGCGCTGGAGAATCCAGTTCAAGGCTGGCTGTTGTGCCAATGCATGCAAAGACGACAAGTTAGAAATGGCTGTCACAGCACACGCTGCACACTTACGGCAGTGCCAACACTTGCCAGACGTCATGCCAAGGAACAACAAGACTACCTACATGGTGAAAGGCAGTCATGAATGGTGCCAGCTATGGGATATACCATATCAGGTCACAAGCAATAGTCAGTGCATCTGTTTGCAGGAGTGTGCTCAGCTTTGCAATTGTGCCGAAGTGATGACAACTGGCAACTCATGCAACATTTGTCCAGCACAGTCACCTGTGGTGTGAGCAACAGCAATGTGTACATGCCTACAACGGGCTTCACCTGTAACCTCTGTGGCCACTTGTTGCAGCGCAAATCGCTGACTGTGGGGCCATAAGCTGTTGGACCCACAGAGCACATTTTTGCAGTGGGTTTGACCTTAACTTCTTCTCCTTGTAAGGATTTTGTGGAGGTGTCAAGGCAGGGAATATGCACAGTTTCCCACAAACGGAACAAATGGAATATGCCTGCAACTGCCTTGCAAGGGGCAAGGGCAGTGTTCAGTTTAATTGCAGCCAAACACATCGTCTCCCACGCACGTCCCAATTTGCTTAGGAGGGGGTGCCCTTCATATGACCTGTTCCTCTTGCTTTCTGTAGCAACTCTTACCCCACCCCCCTTTGTGCCCACATCCCCAGTTGACTGACCTCGAGGTTGTTTCTGCACAAAAGGAGGGCATTCGAAGCCAACACCTCAGAAAAGCCCATGTCCCTCAAGGTATTCATGTGCTCAGCATTAGGCTCTGGGATTTGCACCTCTGCCACCTCCTAAACACCAACGCCACAGTGTAAGTTGATGCTGTCATTCTACTCTGCTTAAAGCAAACCAGCCATCATTAGTACACAACTCACAAGCCTCCTCCGCACCCCCAAAGGCATACTGTTGTATCGATCCAAAAAACCAACATAGCACTCCCTATGGACAAAAGAACACATTTGTCCACTGAATAACTGTCCCATTGAATGTGCCTTCACCAACATTATTTTCGGTGTGCAATCAGTGGCACACACATCAAAGCGCTGACCGTACACGATGCAAGAGTAACACGCCGCACCTCCTGCCTGGCCTGGCCAACTGCAGCCGTTTCAAGGGCGTCGAGTCTCCCCTCCAAAGCATCTATCAGGGACTGCAACTGTCCAAGCGTCCCAGCCGATGCTCTGACAACCCTCCGCCTCCCAGGCTGTGGCTCCTCTGGTGCGTTGAGTTTCTCTTGCAAGCCATGAGCCTTGGCGTACTCGCTGATTGCTGTGTTAATGGCAGCCATGTCGGGAGTCTGGCAGCACCAGAAAGCACGCAAATATTTGAATACACATATGGCTCAAAATCTGATGCACCGTAATCCTATGTGCCGTGTCCTCCCTTTGGTGGCCATGCTCCACGACCCAGGCACGCAGCCTGGAATGTCTTTGCCTGTCCAGGAACGAGGAGACTGGAGCTGCCCCGAACAAGGGTGATTTTCTCCATTGATACCTGAAACATGCAAGTGATTGGAACGAAAAGGAGTTCACGGCAAACAAATGCATCATCAGGGAGGTGGCAAGGCTACCGGCGATCTCAATTTGTACAAGTTCTGCACAGACCTTGGGAACAATAGAGCATAGTATTGAAGGCAGCAGCCGAACGGCTGAGGGTCCATGCAGCTTCCCGTGATGTGATCGCAGCTCGACGCAATGTTGCAGTCTTGGCATTGAACAAAGAGCAAGGCTGCATTCCGAAATTCAAAACTTCCACCACGGTCGAGCGATGGATGTGTCCTCACCGGCTCGTCTTCAGGCGAATCCGGTCTCTGGATGTCATTGACGCGCACAACGGCCAGCGACTCTCCGTTGCTGATCCCCGAACTGCTCAGGGAGCCCCCTTGGTCGCGCAGTTTTCGGCCTTTGTACACCTGTAGCCGCCAAACCAGCGCGGGTAAGGCCTTCTGCGCGCCAAGCCACAGGTACGCAGGGGCCCCGTCAAGCCGCCCGTCGACGGCTCGCTCGACTCAAGCACCCAAGACTCGCCTCAAAATGCGCTGTTCCGTCCCACAAACAGATACCCGTTCCAATCCAATACCCATCAGCTGCGCCGGCGAACGCAATGCCGGGCACAGGCCGGGCGAAGGCGATTGGGCGCACAAGGACACCGCAGTCTTGCGCCGACCTCAGCGGAGCCCGAATGACTCTCTCACCCCGAGCAAACGATCAAAAGCCTCTCCCCGCGGCCATGCCTCCCCTGCCATCCCACCCCAGCCGCTTTCATCGGCAACCAAGCCCCAGCCCCCAGCTTGCGTACCAGGTTCTGGTGCTCAGGATCAGGCACCCCCCACCGGGCGTCCAGGCTGTGGTGCAGGAGCGCCTTCAGCTGCTCCACGGTGGTGGACGGGTCGACGCTGGGTACCTTGCACGTGCCCCGTACGGTGTTCACGTAGAGGTCCATGGCGGGCGGGCGGGGGCGCAACAACGCGGAGGCGGTGGCCGCTCGCTGCCCCTTCCTGGTCCCCACCTTGGCACTGGGCCTGGGGCGGTTTCTGTCGATTTGACGGCCACGTGGACCCCGCGGCTCCCTTGAATGCCCGACAGGTACTACTATCCAACTATATCACATACTGCCCATACTGCACAATATACTGCCTGGCAGGTACCTGGTGGTACTCAACAGCTGCACTCAAATGTGCAGGCTGCTGTGCTGATGTAGGAGGCTTTTTGTGCACAATGCACCGGAGCGTGTGGTCTTTCGCTGAAATCGTAGCCCCGTCAGTGGCTGGTGCACCTTGGACCCCAAAATCATACACTAAAAGAGCTACAGTTTCAGCAAAATCGGTCAGTACACTTGCCGCCAGAACTCGTTTGCGAATTCCTTGTACGCCCATTCAACAGCAAACAACTGCTGGTGACTGGGTCACCTGCATTTTGGCCACTCAAGGTGTATGTTACGAAGTTCTTTTGACAGTTTGAGTATAATTTTTGTCTCAGCCATAGATCCTGAAGGTGGCGAAATGTCTGAGGTCCCTGCAGAGGACCTGTGGACAGGCCGATTCAGACACAAACCTTGTCACATGTTTCCTGTGTTTCAGGCACAACGCTCTGGTATTTCCGTTACTTCATGCAGAGCACTCTTGTCAGATATTCCACTGCAGACAGCCATCAAACGCCATTAACATGAAGGCATTCGTAATTCCGAACGATGCATGGATGGTCGCCGCAACTTCGGTCATTTCGGGGACTTAATGGAAATTCGTCCATTCTCACACACCGCGCCTGGTCCAAAAGCCGTTTCAAGCCCATCCGTCGCTGCATGCCGTGCAGCTATGGCTGTACTCAAATGAGCAAGATTGAAGCTCAGTGCGGTATGACACCGTAGAGCGACAAGTATCCCGAGGCTGACATACTTTGGAGCACCGGCTGGAAATACGGAGTGTATGAAAATTTCTTAAAAGCGCTATGTTGTATACCTGCAAGAATGTTTCACGCCATCAAAACTCAACATTGCCTAATACACAGCTGTTGAAATATGTACAAAGTGTGAATACCATAGCAATACAGTGCCGCACATCCACCTTGCCCGCCGCTTCGTGAGTGGGAACGCACGAGGACTGCCATTTCGGAAGTCTGCTCCAGGCGTGGACTCCCTGAATCGCTGTAGAATATCTAGGATCCAGTTGTGGTACATATGGGTCTCATCGATGTTCCGCAACGATTCTGGTGGCTGCCAGAATATCTGAATCTGACAAGTCTGCCGAAATTTTGAGTGCTAACGAAAGAGAATGCCTTGGCGGGTCGTCAAGCGAAACATGGACGTAAGCTGGTGCACAATACCCTGACACCGGGGCATGAAAACAAACGTGTGACACAAGCTGTGAACATATCGCACATCATTTTTCACGAATCCGGGACTTTTGCACATTCTTTCGCTATTTTATTTGGTGCCTGCTTATTTCAGTTTTACTTGACTGCGTTTTGTGCAATTGGGTATGAGGCTGCACCTGACGTGGCTGCTCGTGGCCATCGGTAGATCACCAAAATGGCATGCACAATTCTCCTGTCTTCGTCCAGCAGGTTTGGTCCTCACTGGCCGGTTACCCAACGGCTGTGCTATGTTGTCCATCAATGAGCGGCATATTACTCACTCAATCGACACGTTTAGAATCAGTACTTACAGTGCTGTCAGCACAAGGCGCATATGTCATGCGGTACAAGAGGTACATGTCAACGCAAGGGAGCAGCCGTCAGCTTCTTATTTCGCCAGGCAAAGCCTCTGCCAACGCTTTGCTCAACGAAAGGCCACGGTGTTGCGGCGGAGGTGCCGGCAATGCACCGGTCCCTGCATTTTTCCGATGCCAAAGAATTCTAATTTTTTTAAATTCACCTATTCTGAAAATCTGAAAAACGCCAGCCCACCAACATGAGTGGCCATTTCCTCCCCCCCCGGCAGGCGACAGAGAACACAACACAAGAACGCTGAGGATAGGGGACGATAGGAGCATGGCCGCGGCGAGGAAAGGCGCGACGGTCCTCATCAAGCTCGTCAGCACCGCAGGCACCGGTTTCTTCTACGCCAAGAAGAAGAACCCGAGAAAGCTGCCGCACAAGCTGCAGTTCTTGAAGTACGACCCCATGGTGAGGCGGCACGTGCTGTTCGTCGAGAAGAAGCTGAGGTAGCGGCGCTGCGGCCAGGTGCCTTTCTCCTGCGCCATTATCACAGCGACCCGCGAGACGGCGGAAGCCAATGGCGCAGTTGGGAACTTGGCCTGATGTTCCATGGGCATTTTGAGCAGCGATCTGTGGCGTCCCAATGGCGCTGACAGGGGCGACGGTGGCGATCAGAATTGCTGGCGGTCGTCTTCGTCAATGGAGATGGGACTTGGGATCTGTCGAAGACAGGCTGGGCCCTTGTCATATGTTTTGTCCGGTGATGGTGTGGCCCCGCAAGTTGGTTTCGGGTATGCATGCGGTCCGGCCAGCTTGGAGTGCGCAGGGCCAGAAAGGCTGCCGGGTGTTGTGTCAGCGTTTTGAGATCCCCAAGAGTAGCCTCAACACAAATGCTTTCTTTGAAGGTTGGAAACGGTTAGCAGTGACAGCCTTGTGTCAATTTAGACGATCATGGGTACGGGAGCATCCTGGAGGTACAAAAAGCCCTCTCAGCATTGTCGTTTGTGACCATTGCGATTTGATGGGTTTGTCTGCAGCAATTAGGCGGGCCTTGCATGCCTGTATAGAGGGAATGGGGAGAAATGGGGACAATTTGGAAAGGCAATCGGCTGAGGCTACGGGGGTGGAGAGGCAAACAGGCAGCAGAGGCCTGAAGACGTTGACAGACTCCACGTGGTTGAGAGGCCCAAAAATCGACAGCAATAACACAAATTGCAAAGGGCAGGAGGCAAATTTTGCCACTCAGAGGAGCCCAAATGTGGAAAACAAGGATCTTTTGGAACAGCGGATATCAATCGGCATATCTGCTGAAGTTCGCCTGTTACCTGAAGGTTGGATCAGTGCTTGAGGATGTGGGAGCTTGACATTTTTCATTTGTTGTGGCATTCATTGAGCATCCAATTGGCACAAGAGAGATGCACACAAGCAGCTTCTCACATTGACGTCACTGCGACACCTTTCGAATGTGGAACACCATCCGATATTGCCACGTACGGAGGACTTGCATTTGCAAACACAGTAATGCAGAGCAATGATCGCACGCTTCTCCTATGCATGCCGCCAATGGTTGGAAGAGCAGCATAGAACCCTCTCCTCCCTTTTGTGGTTTGTTGGTCAAAGCCTTAGCATCATCGGTTGCACCCTAGGACATAAACAAGGACACCAGCTCAAACTACACTCTGAGGGCAACAGACTGCTCACATGCCAATAAAAACTGGTGTCATACAGCACCTATTGATTAAATTGGCTGCCAGCCTAGTGGCGGACAGCACAGCATGCGCCACAGTGGTAGGCGTATGGAATTGGGCAAAGGCAATGAACCAAACTAAAGCATACCTCAATGTAGCTCTACAGAAGCGTCAATCCCATGGCATCCTTCACCACTGTCAACTTGTCTTTTCGTCTACGGTGGTGACTAATGACGACCGGGCTCAATAGGGCAATCTGGACCCGTACAGAGTGTTGCCCCTGCTCACTGACAGCGTATTTGCTGCAGCAAGGCCCAATCTGCGCCTGTGCGTTCATGCGTTGGCGACATTGCCTTCGCATCGCAAAACAGCTGTGAAAGCCAGTGACGCAACGCGTTATGATAGACTGTATGGGCAAAGCAGTACGCTGACAAGTAGTTTGGCTGAATGAATACCTATTCACAGCAGATGGGCATATGCATGGGTGTGATGCCAGTATTGTGGCTCCATTGGAGCAAGCATCAGGGAGAGAAATTTCCCGACATGCCTTGAGCTATTTGCTCCTAGATACAACAACAAAAGGTGTCAGCCGTGGCTGATCAAGCGGAGAAGCGCCGGGCGGCGATTAGTCGATCCCAGCCTGGTATTGTCGTTGTAGGGGCTCAAGATCACATGTCCGAAGCACGCGGCGGAGCGGACGACCCTCTCACTGAAATAAAACCCGTTGCTGCGGAGTTCAGCGAATTTGGACTTTACCGTCATCGTAGAAAACTTGTAGATCCTGGATATGCATAACCAGAATATGGTGCCCATATACTTTACGATATGTAGGATATGGGGGAGGAAATGGGGAAGAATATGTTTTGGGGTTTCCAGGATATGGGACTTTCTACCGACGATGGTCTAAATTCAAATGGCTACCAATTCAAAAGGGAGTTCGCCAGGTGGTCATGAAGGCTGTTAATGTGCTGGAGCGAATGTGCAGCATCATTGAGTCCGCTGATGGAAGCCCCGAGCTCGGAGACATGGCGAATTTGCTTCCCCAGGCACTCGCGTGCAGCCCTGTAGTGGGGCGTTGGACAGCAGGTCAGCACCCCAACTCCGCTGCTCGCTGCACGAAAACACAGCATCTCGTAGTTGGGAATCGACCTGGTGCTGCCTGGAAAAGATACGAATTGCCGCTCTCTGCGCGCCACGCTTGCCAACTGCTTCAAGCCACTTCGGGACCCCCTGCGGTATTCTCAGCCCAAAATATCTGCATGCACAATATCTAGACAGATTCAGGATTCCGGTGACAGCGACACATAGAGACACTGTTTGTTTCTTTGCTCTCGTGCATGGTTCAATTGCGCACTGGAACAGCGCAGACAGGCGTGTCCGCCGTGACGCCGATCTGAAAGATGGCGTATGCGGAACGGGGGACTGGGCCCACCTCGTCAGTATCGGAGCGCAGCTACCGACACCTCCGTCGATACCTCTGGATCGTGCACCTCTCCCTCCTGACCCACGCCGCGCTCGTGGCGGCGACATTCCCCATGCATTCGACGGATGTCCTCAAACACGTGGCGGCGTTCAGGTGGAGGATATACCAGATGCCCGC